TGTAGTGGGACAATATCCCCAATGTGATGTAGCAATTTAATATCTTTACTCAAAACAAAGTCAGCTCTTTCATTTGGATATAACTCCTCCACATTGATCCCTGCAGTAACTTCACTCATATGCTCCATCATCTGTTTCTTAGACTTCAGGATTTGTTGAGGACTGCCTGTCTTTAGGCTCTGTTCCACATAACCCTCAACATCCTCCAGAAGACTTAAACTCATTTTTGCTGATTTTATTTGCTCTGACAGCACCTTGAGTTTATCATTAGTGATCCTTTTTGCCTGCTCAGTCAGTTTCCTCTCTGACTGACGAAGAACAGCAATCATTTCTTCTACCATTTTATGTATTTCTTCTAAGACTCCTTTTCCTCTCTCTCTGATCTCACCCTCTCTCTCTGCTAGAGCAGACAGGACCTTCTTGAGTGCTTCTTTCTTTCCCTCAACTGGTGACAAACATATTCTTAACTTTTGACAGTGTTTAGTATAACTGTCAGTGATTAAGTCATATTCATGATGTTTGTGATTATGAACTGAGCAGTGAGAACAAATCATTGTATCACATATTTCCCAAAAGAACTCCAAAGGCTTAATTTCCATGATCACTACATGTGGCCTCTTGAGGATCTGGTAAATCTGCTGTCTTCTTTGTTAGGCTGTACATCTCTTTGAGGTCGTTGAGGTGGAATCCTACAGGAAAGGCTCCTACTCCTTCTTCTGGTAACTCTGTACAATGACGACAAGTGGGACAAGAGAAGTAATAACCCTCCAGACAGTGCTGAAAGAATGAGTGATGGCAGGGTAGGATCTTAGGGTTGGTATAGTGGTCAAGACACACAGGACAAGTGAGCCGCTCCTCCAGTTTGAGTCTGAGACCAGAAGATGGTTTGGTTGCCATTTCAAGAAAAGAATAATTTAAAAATTGTTTATGTAAACCAGGAACAAAAATGAAGATAGATAAAGGTAGAAGATGATAAAAGAAGATAGAGCAAGAACAAACAAGAAGAAAATGAAGTAAAAACAAACAGCAGTAGACTTTGCAGAACAATAAAAGGAAAGGAGCGACAGGAAGACAGCCTGACAATGATACAGTAGTCTATACAGGAAGTTATGATAGCTAAAATAATAATTATGAGAGCAACTTAACTTTTACTAAGGATGCATACATAAATAGTAAAATGTAACTTTTACATTAGCCTTAGGTGTACATGTACATGTTGAATTATTGATTAAATGTGATATGAAAAATAATAGAAAAATAATAAAACATGCATGTAGCAACCTACAAATGAACTAGCAGTCCAGCAGCTACTCCTGGAGGCTCAAAACTGCACGACCATCAGGAGCCTACAGCATATTGCTAACACTGATGTGATAATGCATCTTCTGTGATAGTCTGTAATTAATTTTATTTGGACACTAAGCAAAAACAAGTTTCACAAGTATATACCGTATAGCAGGAAATTTTTGTGGCCCAAAATTTTCGCCAATTCGTCTAAAAATCAATTTCATGGCTTTAATTTTTGTGTTTTTACTCTTTGGCCATCTTGAACCGTATTAAATTGATTTTTGCTGATTTTAACTTTGTGAATTTTGAAATAAAGCAAAACCCACAAAATTTTGGGCCACAAAAATTTCCCACAATATGGTATGTACATGTACATGTAGTTATCAGGAGTTACAATTACACAGGTACTTAATCTTCTTACACTTCTACCTTACCTTGCTACACTTCTTCAAAATTTAAAATAATTGTTACTATTTATTGAATTCACTAAACTCAACATTTCATCTTACATACAACACGGTGACACTATGTATATTGAAATGTAATTATGTACATGTACATGTATGTAACAGTGGTAAAACATGAGCATGTACTTGTACTGTATATATTGAATGATCAATTCAAACTGGGCATGGTAGAATTAATTTGCATTCATTGATTTACTGTGCATACACAAGTACGTGTACAATATGTGTGTACCTCATTAATAGTATTTTTGAAGTCTTCAGTTGCTTCTTGTGCTGCAATATCAGAATCATCACTATAACCTAGGATTAAGATGGAGATGGAGAAAGAGGAGAAAAGAGAGGGAAATATGAATATGTACATATTATATGTACATTGTACATACATGTATGTACATGTACATGTGTCAATTAATACAGTGAATCCTCTGAATAATAGACAACACCTGTGGAACTTAAAGAAAGTTGTTAACAATCAGTGTACTTACACATAAGTCTTGTTTTACTGTATAAGAAGGGTAATAGCTAGTCCAATGCAATGCATTCATTGGGCACCAGAAAATGGTTGGTTGCCATTTCAAGAAAAGTATGAAATTGTGTACGCAAAGCAAAAAACAAAAAATGAAGAGAGATAAAGGTAGAAGATGGTAAATAAAAGATAGATCAGGAATGAACAATAAGGAAATGAGAAGTTGGAATGAATGAGAATGCATAACAAAGTATAACAAAAGTGGAAAGGAACAACAGAAAAGCAGCCCTTAAACTAATAAGAGTTGTGGCTACACATGTAAAGGAAGTTATGACAGGTGCAATAATTGTGGTAGCATCCCAAAAATGTACAGTAAAGCATGTAATCTTTACTATATACTGGGTGTATGTGAACTGTAGAGTTTTATTGATTAAAATGTGATATGAAAAATAATAAGAAAATAATGTAACAGAATAATAGAAATGGTGAGCCAACTAAAGTCCAACTGAACTAGCAGCATACAGTGTACATGTATTGTACATGTACTCCTGGAAGCTAAAAACTTCATGACCATTAGTTGCCTATAACATGTTGCTGAAACTTACATGTAAATGTACTACAGTACAAGTACATATACATATATCAGGAAACTGAACAAATTAAGACAGGTTTCATAGTTGTACATGTACAGTACAAGTAATCAATTTCAAGAATTACAATTACAAAACTACTTAATGAACAACAACACTTCTTGCTTTACACTCCTTAAGAGGATTGCTAACATTCATTACCAAACTCACCATTTATCTTACATACACACATACATGTACATGTACATGTACATACTGGTACATTGAAACATAATATTGTATAATACTGTAGCAGTGGCACTGTGGCAAAACAAGTGGGAAGTGCTGTGACCACAGTAAACGCCTTTTTAAGCACAAGATACAGGTCAAAAGGACACAGCAAGTGTGATGTCCACATGGTCAAACAATAGTCGAGAGAAATGAGAGTGAGACCAAGATTATGAGCAAGAAATAGAGAGTAGTGGCACAGCTCTGAGTAGGAGAAAGAACATACCATGGGGTGTTTCACAACTTATCAGAACCGATTGTCAGTGGGTCTGTGGACGAGAGATCGAGACATAAAAGAGTCAGCCAAGCAAAGAGTGAGACCAAGATTATGAGCAAAAAATAGAGAGTAGTGGCACAGCTCTGAGTAGTGAGAAAGAACATATTATGGAGTGTTTCACGACTTATCCCAACCAATTGTCAGTGGGTCCGTGGACGAGAGATCGAGACACAAGAGTGAGCCAAGCAAAGAGTGAGGCCAACAGTAGAAAGTGTTGTTCTGGCCAAGTTAAGATTCTTCTGACAGTGAGTCGCCAGAGTAGGATGAGAGCTACGGAATGAGAATGGGAGCATTTGGACTAGCTAGACTAGAGAGTGAGACTAAAAGTGGGTTCTGAATATGATGCATGCATGTCCCTCATGACCGGAAGTGCTGTATAAACCAATGGGAACAAGCATCAATGCGTCAGATTAAAAAACATTTCTATTCTGACGCATTGATGCATACTCCCATTGGTTTATACAGCACTTCTGGTCATGATGCTAGCACATGAAAAACAATGTGTCATATTGAGAACCCACCTTAAGAGCACACGTTCTATGGTTGCCATGTAACTTAACCCTGAGCAGTGAATCACCAGGTCTATTTGAGTCAGCAGTTCAGCCAAAATAACACGTATGTGTCTTGTTGCTAGAGCTAGGAAAGCAGAAATGTTACTTGATATAGAGAGCTCACATTTATCTTGAGTTGATACCCAAACACTGATCAATTAAAAACATGGCATGCAATACATAATATTGAGAGATATTATGAATAATGCATGAGATGTGATGTCAAGAGTTTAATATAATTTTACTATTAATATTTATCATTTTTGGCAATAGTTGGCAAACTTTAATAATTTGCAAAAAAATTCAATTTAGCTTGAGATCAACTCAAACTTTCTACGCAACATAAGTATGCATGTATATGCAACAGAAAAAAATATAATTTTTTTCTTTTCAATTTTGGTAAAATTTGACCTGTGAGAGCCCAATTTTTGAGTAACTTAACAAATTTGTGAGAAATTCAATTTTGATCAAAATCCGCTCAAACATCCTACACAACATAAAAACATGTATATGCATGAGGAAAAATTACAAAATTGGAGAATACTCTCCTTTAAATTTTGGCAAAATTTGGCCAATACTATGAGTAGTAAAAGTTCTCTGGCCCAATTTTTATTATGATATAAGCAGCATGACTTTATTAATATTACTATTCAGATTCTCTCTCATTAGAGGAGGGAGAAAGAAAGAGGGAAAAAATACATGCATAAAGTTAGTCTTTATTATACCAACAACAGAGTTAACAAACACCATATGTAAGTACAGGCTAATACATGTACATGTAATACATAACACCATATACGTGTAGCAGAAAAGTTTTGTTGAGTGAAGTTTTGCTTGTTTTGTTGCAGAAAATTTTAAACAAAAATTTTAAACAAAAATTTTAGACGATAAAAATTATTTACAACTATGTAAGTGTGCGTTACTAGGTGAATAATAATTGATGCTAGTCAATGAAAATTAAATCAATGAATATATAATGTAAGGTCTGCTTAAATGGACAATAAAATTTTCTGGCAATGCAAATTTTCTGCTATAAAGTAAAACAAAAGTGTATCAAAACAAATAACTATTCTTATTTTGCTGTACATAATCCCTAAGTTGCTTTCGTGTTTATAAAATAAAAAACAGTTGTCAACTTGGATAATCCATTGCTACAAATAAGATTACAGTTGACATACAATTCCAAAATGTAACATAAGCAGCTAACATAATCAAGCTTAAGGCTTACAATTTACAATAATATTTTAATTTTACAATGTGAGAAAAAATGACATGTACCATACGTGTAATATATTTGAGATATAAAATCGACAGACTTGCATTAGAGCTCACACAAATACTACTTGACACAAAAACCCACAAATAAGCAAGTAAACATAAATCCCAATAATCCCTACACGATATTAATGATATTCATTATTTAAGCTAGCTCCAACAAAACACTAATTGACTCACCAGCCATGATTTCTCCTTCCCAGTGATATCTTCTTTACTGAATATATCCAGTACAGCTCCTCTCTTCATAGCACTCAGTCCTGTCTTTATGTCTTTGACCTCATCTTCACTCATCAACTGATAATCAGTTCTTAATGCTGGAGGAGCATCACCTGTGGAGAGCTTCCTTTCAGCCTGTTAATTAATATAATTATTGTTATTCCTATTTTTGTACTGGGTGCAATTTGAATTGACCAAACATAATGCATAATTGGAGATTATACTACATCGTCTTTATTAGTAGCTGATCAGTAAGTATTATAAAATTTAACTTAGTTATTATATATAATATTAGAATATACAATAAAATAACAATAATCATCATTTTAATAAACAACAAGTTGGTTACTACCAAAATCACAAACATACAAGAATCCATCTTTATCAAATGTTAATCCATAAGGAGCATTAAACTGATCAATATTACTACCTTTACTTCCAAATCTATTAACGAACACACCATCTTTAGTGAAGACTGAGATACGAGCATTGATCCATTCACTAACATAAACTAGACCAGTAGCTGCAATGTCTATTGTTACACCTACTGGACTATTAAGCTTTCCAGCACCAGATCCTTTGCCACCAAAATTACACAAAAACTTTCCACATAGAGAGAACTTCTGAATACAATCATTCCAACTATCAGCTACATACACTAATCCTTGACTGTCAATAGCAATGTCATGTGGATGCTTAAACTGTCCATTAGCTGATCCTTTACTACCAAATGAATGAGAGAAGGTTAGATCAGAATTCAAGACTTGTATACGATGATTATCCCAATCAGCAATATAAATTTGTTCTGTTATAGGAGAAATAGCTATACCAGAAGGATACTTAAACTGTAGTGGTCCACTGCCCTCCTCACCTACTGATGCTATAAGATATCCATCCATGCTTATCTTCTGGATCCTGTGATCATCAGACACAAGAATGAATTTGTCTGGAGTAATGGCTAAACCACGAGGATAAGAAAATTTCACATCACCACTTCCTCCATACCCTCCCAATGATTTTACTTTCTTACCTTCTTTATCTAATAATGTTACACAACTACCACTACTCTCAGTTATTATAAGATTGTTATCATTACTTACAGCAACTCCATAGGGACCCTTAAGCTCAGTTAGAGTACGTAGTGGAGTGATTTTATCAAGGTAAGGATTGAAAGGGATGACTAGTGAGGTATCCTTAAGGTGTACATCATATACTTGTACTTTTACTGTATGAGTACCACGTGTTGAAGGGTTACACTGTATCCTATACACTCCAGGATCAGTGCTGGTGGTAGTAACTGTAGTTTGAATGGGTTTATGGCCTTTACCAACTGGTACTAGACTACACCTCAGAGAAGAAAGGGGAACAGACAAAAAAGATGAATCTGGTGCCTCCATTGATAGTGAAAGCGAAGCTGCTTTGCTAATATGATCAATCTTCTTCACTCTACACTGCTGTAGTGCAGTAGTCCCTGAAATAACGTCTCCAATGTGATGTAGTGATTTGATATTTTTATGAGTCAATACAAAATCAGCTTTTTCCTTTGGACGTAACTCTTTCATATTGATTCCAGCAGTAACTTCACTCATATGCTCCATCATCTGTTTCTTAGACCTCAGGACTTGTTCAGGACTGCCAGTTTTCAGGCTCTGTTCCACATATTCCTCGACATCCTCCAGAAGACTCAAACTCATTTCTGCTGATTTCATTTGCTCTGACAGCACCTTTAGTTTAGTATCAGTGATCCTCTTTGCCTGCTCAGTCAGTTTCCTCTCTGACTGACGAAGAACAGCAATCATTTCCTCTACAATTTTGTGTATTTCTTCTAAGACTCCTTCTCCTCTCTCTCTGATCTCACCCTCTCTTTTTGCTAGAGCAGACAGGACTTTCTTGAGTGCTTCCTTCTTTTCCTCAACTGGTGATAGACATTCTCTTAACTTTCGACAATGTTTAGTGTAACTGTCAGTGATTAAGTCGTATTCATGATGTTTGTGATTACGAACTTGACAAGTAACACAAATTACTGTATCGCATGTTTCACAGAATAGCTCCAAAGGCTTTCCATGATTACTACAAGTGGCCTCTTGACGATTTGATAAATTTGCTGTCTTTTTTGTTAGACTGTACATCTCTTTGAGGTCGTTGAGGTGGAATGCTACAGGAAAGGCTCCTGCTCCTTCTTCTGGTAACTCTGTATGATGACGACAAGTGGGACAAGAGAGATAATAGGTCTCACTCTTCTTATCCAGAGGTAATCCCTCCAGACAGTGCTGACGGAATGAGTGATGGCAGGGTAGGATCTTAGGGTTGGTATATTGGTCAAGACACACAGGACAGGTGAGCCGCTCCTCCAGTTTGAGTCTGAGACCAGAAGTTGGTTTGGTTGCCATGTCAAGAAAAGAATAAATTTGTGTTCAAAATTTAGAAAATTAAGTTGAAATAAACAAGGGTGTAAAACAAAGTAGAGCAGTAGAAGAAAGGAGCAACAGGCAGACAGCCCTGATGACCTGGAGTAGTGTATATAGTCTTGTGACTACAGGAAATTATGATAGCTAAAATAATAGTTGCAGTAGCAATTTTCGTGACCTTTGGCATATTGCTAACACTTGAAATGGAATGTGGGGATGGTGATATATATACTAATGATGGGAACGGCCTTTATAGGGTATGTGTTACCCTGGGGGCAAATCTCGTTTTGGGGAGCAACGGTGATAACTAGTTTGTATTATAAATGTAAATGCATCAAGAAACTGAATAAAGACAAGTTTTATACATGTACATGTAGTTATAGAGTATAATGTACATGTACATGTAGTTCAAGAGTTATAGTTAAATACATGTACCCCTCTGTAGGTACTTAATCTTTTTTGAAAGACAACACTTCTATCTTGCCTTGCTTTAAACTCTTTCAAAACTTAAGAGGATTAGTTGTTACAATTCATTGGTCACCACTCACCAACTCAGATCTTACAAACAACAAGTTCATAGTTCTGTAGCCTATGGTGGTCAGGGCAACCACCTCAACATATGAATTAACCAGTTCATCACTTAGACTAACCATGCAATTTATATCAATAACCACATAAAGCATAATGTTGTAGCCTACTAGTATCATGTACATAAATTTAAAAGGAACAATATTAGTCTCTAATGGCCCCCAATTTTTTTCTAGGCAAAACCCTAATGTTATGTACATTAAAATGTACCTTACGTGATTTACGTCAGGATATATTTGCAGCTGAAAATATCATAGATTTTGTAAAATCTATGATAATATTCACAATTTTTTCCCACAATCAGCAATTGCCATAGCAACCAGATGCTAATTTAATTGAAAAAGGCCCGATATTGAAGCAAAGCACTCTGCTGCAGTGTTCTTGAGTTGTTGTTCTTGTTGTTACTAACCCTTGGTCTCTTATAGAACTACTATCTTGCAGTACCTTAGAACTCTCCACCCATATCAGTTAGTGTTTATTGAACTGGGTGTCATTTATTATCACCAGCACATGGACCAGCAACAAAGAGCTCAGAGGTAGAGGCCGCTAACGAATACAGAACAAGTTGCTATTGGTAAATGGCTCCACTAAAGCTGCTAAAAAATGATCAGCTAAACACTAAACACATGTCTTATTGTCATACATGTAGCAATGCTCTCATGGTTTCTATGGCATTTAATTAAATATTACGACAAATAATTGCAGCCTCGACTACATCCCGACATATGGTAATAATGTACATGTACATGTACATGTATGTACATACTGTAACACAGGTAAAACATGAGCATGACCGTGTACAATACATATCCTTTATGCCTGATTGATCAATTCAAAATGGGCACGGTAGTATTTATTTACATGTATTTACTGTGAATGTATGTGTACTATATGTGTGTACCTCATTGATATTATTTTCTAAATCTTCAGTTGCTTCTTGTGCTGCAATATCAAAATCATAACTATTACTTAGGATTAAGATGGAGATAGAGAAAGAGGAGGAGAGAGAGGGAAACATCAATACAATATAACGCTTTATTTTGGCGGCGCTTTATTTTGGCGATTTTGCTGTAAAATTGTAATTGGCGGTTTTTAATTTGGCGATTTTTGTGTACACGTGCATTACTGAGCATGCGCATTAATAATTGGCGGTTTTAATATTGGCGATCCTGCTTGCAAACCGCCAATCGCCAAAATAAAACTCCGCCAAATTAAAGCGTTATACGGTATATTTACATATGTACATGAAACATACATTGTACATGTGTCAATTAATACAGTGAATCCTCTGAATAAATAGACACATTAACACAATCAGTTTTGTCCATTAACTATATAGAAAGGTTAATATCTACATGTAGTTCAATGCAATGCATTGTTGGGCGAGCTCGAGTCAGTCGTGTGGTTATGCGCAGGCGGGTCTCTGACTCTGCTGCTAGCTAGGCTGTTTTTCTAGTTACATGTATATTGTACATCTTGAGTCTGAAACTCCCATCATAATAAGAGTAATAATAAGAAGAGTGTCATTTTCATTCTAGTTAGCTCATTGACGTTGAGCTCTCCTTTTCTCATTCAATACTTATCTTTGTGTGTTTACTGCATATAGTTCACACGTGTTATTACAATATCATTAGAATACATTAGATCATTGACAAATAAATAAATAGATACATGTAGTAGTATACACATGGAGTGTAAGCAGAAGATGGGCATGACTAGAGAAGTATGTCATACATGTACATACAAAAAATTCCTGTTACAGTGGGGATCACTCAAGCTTGCCCCAATTAAAATGTACATGTAAACTAATACATGTACATGCAATGCTACATGCATATCACAGAAATCACTGTACAGTACATGTACATGTGCATGTAATGTCCATTATTACTTTACATTATAGGTAAACCTTTAATTAGTAGGTGTGACTCACATATTGATAACTCTGTTCAATGTTCTTTCTTATTTGATGTATTTTCTCAATAATAGCATCTTCATCATTTTCAAACTCTAATGATGCATCCAATATACTGAGAAAGGAGAGAAATAGAGAAAAAACACACATAATGAAATACCATGTACACTGCATGTACATGTACATGTATAGCAAAATATGTACACTGTACATTGTATTTGGCAAGTAACTTCAAAAATTCATTTAAGATTCAATTTTGATTGGATCCAGCTTAAACTTTATCAAATAAGGACATGCACATATGCCAACAAAAATTAATATAAAGTCCTTTTCAATTTTGGTAATTTTGGCCAAGAACACACTGTACATGTACTATAGTTCAGGGGCTTTGGCCCAAATTTTTAGTAACTTAAAAATTTGTAAAAAATCTAATTTAGATTGGAATCAGCTCAAACTTTCTAAACAACATAAGATTATGTACATGCATCAGGAATAATTATAATAATGGAGAATTCTCTATTTTCCAATCATGGTAAAAATTGGCCAGTGATCCTGTACTATGGTACAGGGATCAGCTCGAAATTTCTACACAACATAAGGACATGTACATGTATGTGTAATCAAGAAAAATACAATAATTGAGAATTTTCTAATTCAATTTTGGTAAAATTTGGCCAATCCGCCAATGACCCTGTAGCTAGTACAGGGACTTTGGCCTAATTATGGTACAATTTTTAAAATTTACAAAAAGGCCAATTGAGATCAGAATTAGCCCAAAGTTTCTAAACAACATAAATACATATACATGTACACGTATGTGTATCAGAAAAAATAACAAAAATTAAATATTCTTTCCTTTAAATTTTGGCAATATTTGGCCATGTAGTGTCTTGTACTACATGTATGTATAGTACAGGTTCTTTGACCCTATTTTTAGCAACTTTAATTTAAAACTACACTGTAAGTGGGTGTTACTAAGTGAATAATGATAACTGACGTTAATCAATCAAATCAATGAATATATAATGTAAGGCCAGCTTGGATGGACAATGAAATTTTATAGCATTGAAAGTTTTCTTCTATAAAGTAAAAGAAAAGTTTATAAAACAAATAGCTCTTATTTTGCTGTAAATATTCCCAAAGTTGCTTTCATGTTTATGAAATAAAGAAATGGCTATCAACTTGAATAACAGGAGCGTAGACAACTTTTGAAAAGTGAGGGGGCTAAAGTTTAAAAAATTTTGACCATGCCCCTTTGAGGCAAGGACCATGCACACTCATATTTGGTGTTTGTCACTGTTTGTGCATATAGTTGATGCATGCTCTGTAGCAGCTATAGTAGACTTCAGGTAGTAGTAAAACAGTAGTAGACTTCATATATTTTGACATTTTGATTAAATATATTATTAAAAAATTTTTCCCACAAAATCTGGGGGGTTTTAGCCCCCCTAGCCATTGTCTACACCCCTGAATAATCCATTGCTACAGATAATAAGACTACAGTTGACATACAACTTAACCAACAGGTAACATAAGCAGCTAACACAATCAAGCTTAAAATAATAATTATTTTATATTTTACAATGTACCAAGATGTGAGAAAAATGACATGTACATGTAATAAATTTACTAAAGATATAAATTGATAGACTTAAAATATTTTGCATTTGAGCTTACACAAATACTACTTAACACAAAAAACCCAAAAAAGTCGACATAAATTCCCTAATCCCTACTATACACACTATTAATAATATTCGTTATTTAAGCTCCACCTACAAACTAATTAACTCACCAGCCATTATTATTATTATTATTATTATTATTATTATTATTATTATTATTAT